CACGAAATAAAGTATTTACAGAAACAGAATTGGACGAACTGCAAAGGTTTACCCAGGGCAAAGAAATCAAAGCCTTACAAGAAGTAATTCAGAATGTAGAGGCAAACCAGGGGGAGTTGGCAGTGAAAGAATCCAGTAGAGATATACAACTGTTCTCATTTGGAAACCAGGCACCTCTTCCTCATTATTATTATTATTATTATTATTATTATTATTATTATTATTAACAGTAACGTAATGGCTCTTCTGGCACTGAAATATTGGCTTCCAGATAATGTAATACTTTTCCAAAAGTGGAAGCAAAAAAAGGAGACCCATATTAGGATATCTAATACGTCTATCTATATTTATTCTGAAATCAGGTAAGAAAAAGATTTCATAATAACCCAGATTTTCAAAAGAAAGCAAGAATCCAGCCAAGGGAAGAATACTATTCGGTTTGCTATTGTTGAGTGTGGGAGTGATATTGGTCAGAAAATTCCATTTCTTTGTCACACAGAAGGGTTTTATATGCTGCATAAGAATAGTGTTTGACAGTTCCCTATTGAAACTGAGATTATATACTATGCAACCAACGTTGATATGAAAACCTCAATAGCAATTAAATGAAGGATTATTATATTGTGACATTTACTGAACAAGTCTTCTTTTCTCAGATACCCACAATCTATAACAAGGAGGAGTAAATAGAGGACTAGGAAAGGAGAGACCTGAAGAATTCTCAAATGAGATTTCAACTAACTTTAATCTAGTACAAAAGAAAGTTCATAGAAGAACATTTTACAAATTACCCAAACTTCGTCAGAGCCTTTTTTTCTGAATCTGGCTCCTGTGCAGCTAAGTTTATATAGAAACTATCTTCCCCAAATACATCAGAAAAAATCTTAATAATAATATTAACAATCAATTTAAAGCTAAAAATAAGTGTAGCACTACCCCCAAAAGTCCGGGTTCTCCTGGCCCTCTCTTGGTCTGGCTACCGGTCCAAGGGGTTCCTTACTTGGACACCTCTGCTTGTCCAAGACCCATGATGCAGTGGTGCTCAGTCTCTGTCTGTAGCAACTCACATGAGGTGATGGCTATCAGTCCCTCAGCAGGCAGCTCACGTGAGGTGATGATGGCCAGTCTCTGTCAGCAGCGGCTTACATGAGGTGATGATGGTCAGTCTCTATCAGCAGCAGCTCACGTGAGATAATGATTGTCAGTCTCTAGGCAGGCAGCTCACATGAGATAATGGTGGTCAGCCTCTTGCAGGCAGCTCACAGAAACCTCCCTTATTCTATCTCCTCTTCTCCCTCTGGCCTTGCCCCACTGGAAACCTTCCTTCTCTATTCCCTTCTCTCCTTCAGACTTGCCCCACAGGAATCTCTCTCTTTCCTCTTTCTTCTCCTCCAGACTTGCCCCACAGAAACCTCTCTCTTTCCTCTTCCCTACTCCATTAGGCTTTCCCCACAGAAACCTCTTTCCTCTTCCCTACTCCATTAGGCTTTCCCCACAGAATCCTCTCTTTCCTCTTCCCTACTCCATTAGGCTTGCCCCACAGAAGCAGAAGAAAAACCAACCAACCTCCTTTCTCACTCTCCCTCCATTTCTTTCTTTTCCTTTCCTCACACCAAAACCAAAACCCCTACTTTTCAATCACTTCCCCTCTTCTCCCCACCTCTTTCCTTTTTTTCTGGCCAGCTGCCCTCCGAGCTCCAGCAGAGCTCCAGCCTCGGTGGCTGCCCCAGTCCAACTATCCGCCATCCAGCTGGGTCTCCTTGGCAGCGATCAGCCCAGGCCCCATCTACTGATCCCGGGCCCTCAGCAGAACGCAGGCAGCCCCCAGCTCCAGCCAACTCCATCCCCAAGGACCATGTCCCACTACCAGCCATAGCAGAGGCTGCTGGAGCTCCTGCCCTCCTTGCTGGATCGGCAATCCTGCCAGCCAGCGCCAATCCTGCCCCAGCTCCTCTCTCCACTACATAAGGATTAAACATGAACCTATCCCTGTCCCCATTTCTACAGAAAAAAACAAGATTTCTTGTTTTCTAAAATGTTCAATAAGTGGAGGTTGTCCAGATTTTTGGGGGGTGGGAAGAGTTGATTATTTATTTTATTTCTCTAAACTTGTGTACTACCTCAGTCATTTCTGATTCTATTCCATAAAGATGGGCCGCCATCAAGAATCCTTGATTCTAGGCTTCAGTCCCCTCAACTTTTCAAAGAGAGCACACAAAACTTCTTCATCTGAGTGGAGCAAGCAGGCCCCCTTTGGAGAACCCTGTCCTATAATTAACTTGGACCCATGCCATGTAAAACTTTATAAGTCAAAAAGAATATCTTGGAATATACTCAGAAATGTACTGGTAGCCAATGCAATTCCCCAAATATTGGTGCTTAAGTAACACACACCAATCAAGATATTTGCTGCCACACCAACTGGAATTTCCAGATTCTCTTGAAGTGCATCCCCAAATGCAATGTATTGCAATATATTAAATTGTAATTTAACTTGAAGTAAATGAGGGCATGAGCATTGCTAGGTTCTCCTGCTTTAAAAAGGGCCATAATTGGTGGACCATATGAAACTGTTCAAATACTCTCCTGACCTTGGATCAGGAAACATGAATCCAGCAGAATTTCCTGGAACTATGAATCTGCTTCTTAAAGGGAAGTGTGAGTCCACCGATAGGCAAAAAGGAATCACCAGAAAATTCAAATATTTCTTGCTGTAATTCTGTTTCGGCATCTTTTGTTTTATTCAGTTCCTTACAGCCCCCAAACATTATGTCAGGAAATGCATCATAAGTCTTGCCCAGTCCAGAATGGAGACACATAACTGGGCATCATTGCCATACTGATGATCCCAAGTGACAAAGTATTTTCCCCAACAATTTCCTGGGACAATTCTATATAATACTAGCCAGGGACTTCAGCTGCTATAACTGCCCATTCAGGTTGGAGCAGAGTAACTATAAAACAGTAGCCCACATCCCCAACTTTCACCAATGGTCCAAAAAGATAATACTTTTGGGAAATTTTCCTTCCATTCAAACACTGATGGATGCTATCAACCAGATTTAAACATTTAAATTGTTTTATTATCCATTGCTCTCTTATACTTTTATTGATTTCATCCACAGCTAAATCTGATTTATTGCATGATTTTATTTTATTTTATTGGGTTTAGGCCCATTTGCTATATGACCCCTTTGTGGGATACCTGATCTGGAGTATCCAGAAAGGCAGGAAAGAAATACAACCAGTCTTCCAACATCAAGATAGCAACCACAGTCAATAGAAACAATATATTAAACAGAACAAAGGGGGAAAAAATGAAGGTTCAGAATATATTTATCTCAGTACATCTGCTGGTTTCAATCCAAAACTCAACTAGCAAATATTTAGTATGCTTCTACTTAATTGTGATTCATTCCTAGAGTACCCTGAATAGCTAAGCAACTGCCAGAATTAATTTGGAGCAAGTCAAAGCTTTGAAAATTTTGAGGCTTGATAATCAATCCAAGAGGAGGAAAATGTCTTCTTACAATGACTAAGTCTGGATTATCAAAAACCTGTCATTTTGCATCTTGGTTTGTTGCCTAAGTCATAACAGAACACAGCTCTGGGCTAGCATCAGAGCTTTGGAAACAATTCAGTAGCAAGCCTCAAAAGACAAAAAAAAGTCTGTTTGTTTAGAATGTTTTAATAATCCTTATCATATGAAGTTGGATATTAAAACTATACAGTATTCTCCTTAGGCTGCAGCATTGTTGCAACTATCAGCTCAAAGCCCTGGAAACAACAGATTGTCGGCATGACCCAGTGGATGCTTTTATTGTTTTGGACAAGCACCATAGCAATATCTTTGTGTGGCAGCAGATATAGATATTATATTTCAAGACAGAAGAATGGCTATGTATGAATGGCCATTCCCTGGCTTCCTACGTATCAGTTAAATTGCAAGTGAACACCTCCCATGGGGCTTTTCAGGTCAAGAAGCAGAAGCAGCCAAGAAGGCTTCAAAGTAATAAGAGAGACTGCAATGGGGAAAAAATCTACAGAAGAAATATTTTTGGTCACCTTACAACAATAAAGGAAGCTCAGATAAAACATTAAAAGAAAGTTATTGATTCATTGATTACATTTATATCCTGCTGCAGTCTAGTGACTCTCAATGACTTACATGATATAGAAGTATTAAATCACCCATGGTAAGTCAAAAATGAAAAACTTAAAACAAAAATAACCACCCACAATGAATCAAACTATATAAATAACAGCAATAAAAATAAAAAAAGATGACAGAGCTCAGTAACTAGCTAGAACAGTCTCTGAAATAGCTCAGTTTTTAACATTCTGCCAGAATGAAGGACAGTCTGATCTCTGCTGGAAGGCTCTTCCAGAGTTTTGCATTACCACTAAAGATCCGTGTTTCACTCCCTTCACTTCATAGAAATGGGGAACAATGTCAAATTTCTCCCTATAACAATACAGGCAAATTCACACTGGGCTAGCTAGTAACGCATGTGTACAGAATACAAAGCCATAAAAAAGTTATTCAAAATCACTACCAGTAAGTATTTTAAATTATACCCAAAAACCAATTGATAGCCAATGCAGGGCTCATACCAATGGCATCAATATTCCCAGTATCATGTGCTGGTTTGTACAGTCTACTGTACAATGGACAAACTGTAGTTTCCAAGTAGACTTTAAAAACAGTCCCATTGCAGTAGTTTATCCAGATGGTAAGGAGAGTCCAAGTGACTGTAGCCAGATTCTCCTGAACCAGGAAAGGCTGCAATTGATGCACCAGCCAAAACAAAGCAAAGGAGGAAAATTCTGAAGCATCTGAAGAGAGAGAATTTGCAAGAATAAACTCTTCTCTAAATTGGAGGATAGATTTTGGTACAACATTATTTGCATTGCTGAAGTTGTAATTATAAGAACTTCTGACCTATTCAGCTTCTGCCCACTTTTTTATACCTCTTTCAATTGCAAGTAAATCAAAATACCTTTTTTCAAATCCCACTATTGTTAAAGGGGGAGGGAAGAGCTTCTAGCCTTAAGCTCAGCACAGCCGTATAAGTCCTCCATTCACCTTGCCGGTGGACCTTCCTTTATTTCTCTTCCTGCATGCTTGCATACTGAAATAGGAGCTTTCCTTTAAGCCCAGGATCTGTGATAAAAAGCAATCAGTGACATCATATTAAACATTGCATTTAAGACTTGATCTAGTTGGTGACGTTTTTAAAGTATGTAGAGTCTTAATCTATGTGCATATGTAAAGTTTGGCTCAGTAAAAATGTGACATCTAAAGCAGACACATTTTTTCTATGCTGCTTTAATGAATAGCAATGAAATATTATGTTCCCTCTCTCATACGTTTTGAAGCAATTCTTCTTAAGCATCATGAAGACCTTATTTATTGCTTATGCCAGAGGTTGATAGTAACTGAAAAGCTGTCACTGAAAGAAGTGATTACATATAAGAGGCCAAAATATCAGCTGATATTTTGACTGCTGACATATTGGGCAGAATTCTTGGTCTATGTTTAAATTGCATGCTGTAAAATAATCAACTTTTGATGCTAGACTCCTTTATTTTTAAAATAATTTCTAAACAATATTTACTCATAATATTTCTTCTGGAATAACATGGGAATTTTTTAAAGCAGATTCTTAATTCTTTAAAGATTCTTTCTCAGACAGCTTATTTAAGTTGTGCCATGGAATTATAGGTTTAATTGACTGGTTGTCTTCAGCTTTGCCAGCTGCTGAGCATAAAAGAAAGCCCTTTTAACTGCCTTGAGGACAATGCAACCTATTTAGAGGAAACAGCTGGGAGGGGGAAAAGAGGGTGAACAGGAGCAATTCAACTGGGAAATTTTCAAGGCTTCCTTTTATATCACTCCTAAAAGAATTGGCATTTGCTATCCTTGAACCAAGAAGTTTGAAATGTAAAATTCTTTTCTGAGTAGAAATACTTTAGCATTGATGTTAAGCTAGAATATTGGGACAAAAATGCAGTTAATCCATATTGATAAAATGCATTTTTAATAAGCAAAGGGTAGCAGATGTATTAGAATAAGAGGCAATATCTTGATAAGCCTGGTGGGTTTCCTAAGTTATATTTTATACTGTGATTTTATATACTTTGGATAACCTAACTGAATCAACCAAATGATTCAATAAAACAGACTTTATTCTACAGTATATCTTTACTACTACTACTACTACTACTACTACTACTACTACTACTACTATTACTACTACTACTACTACTACTACTACTACTACTAATAATAATAATAATAATAATAATAAAGTTGGAAGGGATCTTGGAGGTCATCAAGTCCAACCCCCTGCTCAGGCAGGTAACTCTATACCATTTTGGACAAATGGCTGTCCAGTTTCTTCTTAAAAACTTCCAGTGTTGGAGCATTCACCACTTCTGGAGGCAGGTTGACCCCCTCTTCTTTCTGGCAGCCCTTCAAATATTAGAAGACTGCTATGATGTCATCCCTAGTCCTTCTCTTTATTAGACTAGACACACTCAATTCCTGCAATCATTCTTTCTACGTTTTAGCCTCCAGTCCCCTGATCATCTTTGTTGCTCTTCTCTGCACTCTTTCAACATTTTTTTTTATTTCTTGGAGACCAAAACTAGTGTAGTCTTATCAAGGCATTATAAAGTGATGTCAATATTTCATGTGATGTTCACAATTGTTGGGGGAAAAAGCAGGAAACCCCACATTCAACTTCACCATCAACCATAGAAGCTCACTGGTTGACTTAAGGTCAGTCAGTCTCTCTCAGCCTTAACTATCTTGTACAATGGTTCTGTGGGGATAAAATGAAGTGTGATCATGTATAAGCCACTTTAAACTCACTTTAAATCCTCCTTCAGAACTACCTCATTCCATTTTCTTTGTTGAGCTAAGTTTCATCAGCCTGCTTTGATGAAGTGATTCAATCAAAGCATGATCACATTGAAGCACCCCTTTGATATTTTGTGGGGCTCTGATATCCTATAGCTCCCTGTCTTAACAAATATGTCTCCCTTTCTGCACATTTCATTGTAATGCAGTGATCCCTGTGACCTATTCCGTGTAGAGGAGTTGCTTACTTACTTACTTTTGTTTTTATTCAAGAGTATAGTTCTTCAAAAAAGCCACAGATCGTAATTCATAAGCTGTATGATTTAACAATTGTTTTGGTAGTAGTGATATCAATGGGAAGATTTCTTGCCTATTGTTTTTTTAGTTGTGTGTGTGGAAACTAGCTATTTTAATATTAATGTTTACATACAAATAGATATTTGTAAACCATTCAGAGGAGCATTTCATCAAGTAACCTGCCAAATCCATTCATTGGAGCATAGAAAACGATGATTTAAATAAATTCCCACAACCTAAGTTTAACGTCTGACATATGTAGTAACTATATATATATATATATATATATATATATATATATATATATATATATATATATATATATATATATGTAGGTCTTTGGTTGTTCGGGTTTTCTCCCGCGTAAAATTGGAAGTGTCTTGGCGACGTTTCGACGAAGTCCCATTCGTCATCTTCAGGCTGGTGTTTTCAGCTTCGTGCTTCGAGCAGCAATGTGTGGTCTTAGCTGTTTCTTCCTTTTAACTGCCAGTGGGGGTATGAACTGATTGGGTGGGAGCTTGGCTGTGTTCTGATAGGGTGGAGGTGTGTTCTGATTGGTTAGGGGCTTGGCTGTGCTCTGATTGGCTGGGGGTTGGCTGTGCTCTGATTGGCTGGAGGGTTGGCTGTGCTCTGATTGGCTGGGGAGTGTTCTTTTTGGTTGTGCTCAGGTTAGTCTGAGTTGCAGAGGGGTTTAAGATTTTGGGCTGCCTTGCTATTTTTTGGCTTCACGTTCGTGGTCGTGCCTCCTCTTCATGGAGGGTGTCAGTTTGCTTCATGTTTGGATTGGAGGGGTTTAAAGTGGCTAATGATGCAGCTGTGGTCTGGCTTCTGGTTTGTGGTCGTGCCTCATCATCGGTGTGGCTTTGGGTTTGTTTTTTGCGTGGATGTGTGGTGGTGACATCCTGTGTGGTTTTTGTGAGTGTGGGTCTGGTATCATTTTTTGTGTTAGGGAGTCGTTTGTCAATAAGGGCGGGTTTCCAAATGGCTGGTAGGCGGGAGGTATCATCTCGCTTGTTCATGCTGTGTGGGCGTTTTTCTATCTCGATGGCTTCTCTGATTATTCTGTTATTAAAATGTTCACTTTTGGCAATGGTTCTGGTATTTTTAAAGTCAATTTCATGTCCTGTGGCTTTAAGGTGTTGGACCAGGGAAGATGTTGGTTCCTCTTTTTTGACTGAGTTCTTATGTTCTTCAATGCGTGCACTTATTCTTCTGTTGGTTTGTCCGATGTATGTGGTGGGACAAGTGGTGCATGGGATTTCGTATACTCCTTGATTTTCTAATTCAATTTTATCTTTGGGGTTTCTAAGGATGGTGGATATTTTTCTGTTTGTGCAGAATGCTGTTTTGATGTTGTGTTTATGGAGGATCTTACTGATTCTGTCTGTGGTGCCTTTTATGTATGGGAGGAGGGCTTGCCGTTTTCTTGTTCTTTGTCTTGGATTTTAGTGGGGGTTTCTTTTTGGATTAGGTTTGTAATCTTATTTCTATGGAATCCATTGGATGTTAGTACATTGGTGAGAGTGTGTAGTTCGGGTTTTAGGTGTTGTTCGTCAGCTAAGCGTTTTGTTCTGGAGATGAGTGTCTTGGCTACAGAGTTGATCTGTGCTGGGTGGTGGTGTGAGAGAGCGTGCAGATAGCGGTTTGTGTGTGTTTTCTTCTGGTAGATGGTGTGTCCTAGGGAGCCATTGGATTTCTTGTAGACTAAAACATCCAGGAAGGGAAGTTGGTTGTTAGCTTCTGTTTCCATGGTGAACTGTATTTTGGGGTGTAGGCTGTTGAGGTGTGTGAGGAAGTTGTCCAGTTTTTCTTTCCCATGTGGCCAGATTATGAAGGTGTCGTCTACGTATCTGAGCCAGAGTTTGGGTTTGTGATCCGATTTTTCTAGAGCTTGGGTTTCAAAGTGTTCCATGTAGAGGTTGGCAATGACAGGTGAGAGGGGTGATCCCATGGGTGCTCCTTCTGTTTGTTTATATTTTTGTCCATTATAGATGAAGTATGTGTTGGATAGGCAGTGGTTGGTCAGATCTAAGATGTGTTTGGGGGGGTTATATTTGTTTTGAATAGCTGTCAAGGCTTCTTTGATAGGCACGTGGGTGAAGAGGGATATGACATCGAAGCTCACTAGTAGGTCGCTGGGCTGTAAGCTTTGTTTCTTTATGATCTCTATAAACTGGAATGAGTTTTTTACGTGTGAGGTGATGGATTCTGCATAGGGCTGTAGTTGTTTGGCGAGAAATTTGGCTAGGTTTTGTAGAGGTGAGCCTATGGAGCTGACTATAGGTCTGAGTGGGGTTCCTTCTTTGTGTATCTTGGGGAGACCATAGAGTTTGGGGCATCTGGATGATTTCTCTCTGGGAATGATTCTTTGCTGGATCTCTTCGCTAATGGGGGAGGCTTTTATTTTGGATCTGGTGGTTTTTTCCAGGTAGGTGGTGGGATCTGTATTTAGGGGTTTGTATGTGGAGTCTTGGAGTAGGTTGGTTAATTTGGTTTGGTAGTCAGATGTGTTCATAACCACCGTGGCGTTGCCCTTGTCTGCTGGTAGGATTATTATGCTGGTGTCTTATTTCAGGTTACGTAGTGCTGTCTGTTCCTCTTTGGGTAAGTTGCTTTTGGGTGGCTTGCTGGTGCAGAGGATGTTGGTGATTTCGAGTCTGATTTTGTTATATATATATATGTTTTCTGAGGTTTTCGTGGCTGTTTGTATGTAGGTCTTTGGTTGTTCGGGTTTTCTCCCGCGTAAAATTGGAAGTGTCTTGGCGACGTTTCGACGAAGTCCCATTCGTCATCTTCAGGCTGGTGTTTTCAGCTTCGTGCTTCGAGCAGCAATGTGTGGTCTTAGCTGTTTCTTCCTTTTAACTGCCAGTGGGGGTATGAACTGATTGGGTGGGGGCTTGGCTGTGTTCTGATTGGGTGGAGGTGTGTTCTGATTGGTTAGGGGCTTGGCTGTGCTCTGATTGGCTGGGGGGTTGGCTGTGCTCTGATTGGCTGGGGGGTTGGCTGTGCTCTGATTGGCTGGGGGAGTGTTCTGTTTGGTTGTGCTCAGGTTAGTCTGAGTTGCAGAGGGGTTTAAGATTTTGGGCTGCCTTGCTATTTTTTGGCTT